GCGTAAAAAACTGGCGGGTATATGCGAAACTAGCCCTCTGTATCCATACTCAGCTGAGATTTCGTCAGGGATCAACCCGTTGTCATTGGCTGATGGTACTTCCCAAATAAGTGAAGTGGTCAACTTGCTCCACCAACCACTTCACTCTCCATTTTTCTAAACTAGGAGTGAGTGTAGTCTAGTCAGTCCTGTAACGTCATCTTACATTTGACAGCAGGAGCCAATCGCATGCCGAACATTCGTAGATTGCAGCTCCTCAAGGTGTTCAGAAGACTGTGTCTGCATTTTGTCAGCGTCCTCGCCTAGAAGGACTATATCATCTGCATATTGTAAGTCAGCGAGATTATTCCCTGACGGTAACAAGTCAATCCCCGAGTCTCTGAAGTGAGTTAGGGTTTAATCAATTAGTACATCCATGATGAAATTGAGTAGAAATGGGGATAATGGGCATCCCTGAGGGACACCACTAGTCGTCACCACTTCAGATGACAACTCACCGTAAGCCCTCACCTGGCCGGCTGCATCAGTTCAAGTAGAGTGAGTGCCTTGATCAGTGCAATGTATTTACTCTACATTCGCTTTACAGCCAAGCATCGCCAGAGAACCTCTCAGTCGACAGAATCGAATGCCACCTTTAGGTCAAGAAATATAATGATTTTTGGATGCCGGTAAGAATGCCTGTGTTCCAGAATCTGTCGAAGAGTGAAGATATGATCAATCAGTACACCTTCTTTCTGGTCTAAACCCACCCTGGTTCTCTCATGTTTGTTCCTCCCGAGCACCACTTAGTAGTGTATGCATTATTATTGAGCCTAGGACTTTAGATGCCACCATATTAGTCCAGCTAATCCCTCTGTGGTTATATCACAGGAAGACTTGTCTCCCTTCTTGTATATCGCGATAATCAATGACTTACACCAACCCGATGGGACTTCCTCTGATTTTCAGACGCTGCCTATTACCTCAGTTAACGCAGACAGTAAACTGTCTTCACTGTATTTAAATACTTCTGGAGTCATTCTATCAGGTCCTGCTGCTTTGCCTTGTTTCAGACTGGCGACAGCTTTAGTAACCTCAGTTATTGTATATTACATTGTAAACATATATTATTTATATATTATATGATATATATATATTATATATATAACAATATATATAGGGGTAAAACAAGACTGCCTACTATCGCCAATGATTTTCTTGATTGCAGTAGATTGGATAATGCGACAAACAGCTACAGGCAGCGAGGTAACAGGCATAAAATGAACCCACACAAAAAACTTGGAAAATCCGGAATTCGCCGATGTGATATATGTATGTCTGATTTCCCACAAAATGCTGGAAGAGATATGCAAGTGAAAAGCAACAAGTTGGCAGAAGAAGCATCCAGAGAAGATAGGACTTCAGGTGAACATAGAGAAAACAGAGGTGATGAAGATTCCTGGACAACAACAACAACAGACAACAGTCAGCCAGCATAAATGGGAGGAACCTGAAAGAAACAACCTCCTTCACCTACCCACCAACTACCTGGGAAGCATCGTTTCAACTACAGGCCGACGGAACTGACGAGGATGTCAAAGCAGCGAGGATCGGAAAAGCAAGACAAGGCTTCATTACTCTGAAGCCTGTGTGGAGGAGATGAACAGTATTCACCATGGAAATGAAAATAAGATCCGGATTTTCAACTCCAATGTGAAGTCAGAGACTTGGCCAGCGCGTCATCAACAGCACCTCAAACAAACTACACACCTTCATCAACAGCTAGTTGTCTTCGCTCAATACCACTCAAGATCAGATGGCCAGCCAGAGAAGATCAGCAACAGAGATCTCTGGGAGTGAATCAACACAGCAGGAACTGATTGTGCAACAAATAAGCCGGAAGAAATGGAGGTGGATTAGCTGGCCATACTCTGAGACAAGCCATTCCTCGAGTAGAACCTGAAAGGGAAGCGGCGAGTTGGTCGTCAGCTGAGGGTGACTTGGAGGAGAAGGTCATGTGAAGAGGTGAAGACTCTAGCAGAGAACCGAACGCAATGGAGACGTGCGCGGTTGAAGAAGCCCTATATTCCTCTAGGAATTAAACGAAACAATAATAATAACAACAATATATATATTATTACTATTATTATATATTAGAAAACTATTAAACTGATTTACTTTTTTTTATTTACAATTTAAAATTTCCTTACAGATCGATGATGACCTGATGCCATTTCGTAGAAAAGCTTTTATGGACAAGGTATCACGACTGAAAAATCCAGATCATGTCAAAGAAGTACTGGGGACTAAATGTGCCCGTGACGCCTACTCGGATCGTCGTATCCGTTCAATCGAGCGATTGTCTGGTACAGAAGTCCATTTAAGTGAACTGAACCCTGCAATGACCTGTTTTAAAGGCCTGCCAAGAAGACGTTTAACAATAGCCGGACCATCATTCATTAATATTTGTTGTGCATTAAATCTGTTTGAAAATTTATTACCCAGTGTCATAAAAGGTGGTATATTTCCTTATCGATTACCAGAAAATTCATCGACACGCTTTCAAGCTGGTAAACGGATGAGTTCAGTATACAACTGGATTTATGGACGGCCGAATGGTTCCGTTTATCTGAGAAAACAGCTAGATGATAGGGGGGGCTGGCGAAGTCTTCTTCCTCCTCCACGGAGAGGTGTTAGTGCTGAAAGAGTATAAACTGTAAGTTTTCTTATCACTAGTGATGATAATAATAATTATTATAATAATAACTACCCATATTAAATTGTGTTTCTACCCAAAAATATATTAAGCTGGTCACTTACATTTAGACTATTAGACCGCCATATTTAATTGAATTTTAGATTTTTCCCGTCCCGACCGAAGTGCTCGGTCTCAGGTTGACATGTCGGCTTCATGAGCATCATCTCTCACTGAGAAATGCAGATACATCCAGCCAACTGACGAGTCCCAAATAGGACGAAATGCGCATCCTGGATTGGATTCCACTGCTAGTCACCATCCACCAATTAAATACTATTAGACTGACAGTTTCAGAAATTGCCATTTCATCATTGACTGAAGTCCCTCTGTTCTATCAAACTTACAAATTAAAATCAAAAACATCTCTAGCCGGATATCATGTCTACACCAGAGACGTGATATCCAGCTGACTGGCTATCGACCAAAGGGCGAGTGTACTGCTCAGCCAACAGTCCGCGCCGTCCTCCTTTATGGCTGGCTGTGAGACCTGGCCATTGAGAGTGGAAGACATGAAAAGGTTGGCTAGCTGTCTTTGATCATAGGTGCCTGCCTGCGTTCTATCTCCCGTGTTAAGTGGTATAACCATCTGATGATATAGTCCTTCTAGGCAAGGATGCTAACAAAATGCAGACACAGTCTTCTGAACACCTTGAGGAGCTGTAATCTACGAATGTTTGGCATGCGATTCGCTCGTGCTGCTGTCAAATGTAAGATGATGTTACAGGACTGACTGGACTACACTGACTCCTAGTTTAGAAATACGGAGTGAAGTGGTTGGTGGAGCGCGTTGACCACTTCACTTATTTGGGAAGTACCATCAGCTAGTGCCAACGGGTTGATCTCTGACGAAATCTCATATGAGTATGGACACAGAGGGCTAGTTTCGCATACACCCGCCAGTTTTTTACGCCGTCTCTGGCTTAGTAGACGTGATTTTCGGCTGACTGGCTGGCTGTCGACCAAAGGGCGGGTGTAATGCTCAGCCAGCAGTCCTCGCCGTCCTCCTTTATGGCTAGCTGTGAGACCTGGCCATTGAGAGTGGAAGACATGAAAAGGCTGGTTAGCTGTATTTGATCATAGGTGCCTGCCTGCATTCTATCTCCCGTGTTAGTTGGTGGTATAATAAGGTGAGCAATATTGAGGTGAGGCATCGAACGAGTGCTAGGTAGGTGTGAGGGGAAATCAATCGACGATGAGGCTGTGAAATTACATCGACTGAGATGGTTAGGACATGTGTTACGAATGAATGCCTAATCATCGATCGCCTTCCTCGACATTGGGTAACGTTAGCTGGCTGGCATAGGATTGGTCAGGCTGGAAAGGAGTTAACCATTGGTGGTCAAACCAAAACATGGCTTCACCAGTCAATGAAATCCACAACAGTTAGTTTAAGCCAGCCAACCAGCCACGTAGAAAGTTGATGACTGGTTTCCTGACTGATTGGCGTCCTCGGGACGCTAAACAGCAATGATGGCTGGAAACAATTGGTGATATGGCCGGCTCAAACTCATCTTTCTCAATGGCTGGCTGGCTGGCTCAGATGCATCCACTCCTTGTGACTTGTGATTTCCAACGAAACTGTTTTGTTCTTCATTATTACTATTCCTTTGTCTCACCACACCTCTGTGTTTACTATCTCTCTCTATTATGCATTTCATGTTTACTTTCATCTCTTGCTTTGTGTGCTACAAGGAGTGGAGGGAGTGTGGTGACTTGGACTTATGCATATCGGTGCAAATTTCTATGTCGAAAACAGACAGGGACATACAGACAGGTTTGAATAAAAGAAAGAACATAAATGTTTACAGATAGAAATGGGGCGCTCATTTTATCCGCTAAATATCTTCAAACAGATCAAGGCGACTGAATGTCTAAAGTATCTGATGCTTAAGAAATAAATTGGACAAAATTGCAGGAGAACGACAATGATTTTTGAAAAGCCTCACTGACAAACAAACAGTGCAACAATGTTCAGGGGTGTATTAAATTGCTTCCACTTATAAGGTTACTACTATCATGGTTAAATTTTGTTTTGATAAAGTCTCACAGTGTTATGCAGTAATGTTTACAGCAGAAGAGGTTCGAGCACAATGTGCATTAACACATAAACTCGCTAGTGGAGGGAATAAAATTCACATTTGAAGCCGAAAATGAGCAAGGAGAATTAGCTATGTTAGATTGTAAAATAAAACGAATAGAAGAAGGTAAACTACACACTAGCGTTTATAAAAAAGCCAACGCATTCTGCTAATAGATATTTAGACTTTAATTCATCTCATTCTTTAACTGTTAAGACAGGCTTAGTTAAGTGTCCAACAAACCGAGCAACGGCACTAAGTAGCACAAGAAAAGACCTAAATGATGAAATAAAACAGATAGAAAAGGCGTTGGTGTTAAATAACTAATTATCCTATAAAATTCATTAGGAAGATCAGTAAAGGCCAAAAACAAAATAAAAATAATTGTGAAACTAGTAATGAAAACATAAATAAGAGAGAATATAAGGCATCTACAGTTATACCATATAAGGAAGGGACATCTGAGACACTCCCTACATAGGATTCCTAATAAAGCAGGAATTAGGGTGGTGGGATTTAAACCTACAAACTCACTCAGGGACAAGCTCTGTAGGTTAAAGGACCCAGTGGACCCAATTAGACAAAATAATATAATTTACAAAATACCCTGCAATGACTGTGAGTTAGGTCAACTACATAGGTCAAACTAGTAGATCAGGGGTAGTCAGATTGTCAGAACATAAGAATTTAGCTAAGGTAAGAATGGTTGACCCCGAGAAGATAAGTAATTTAGAAAAAAGCTCAGCAATTGCACTGCATGCATTAACACACAACCACACAATAGGGTGGGAGAGGGTTAAAATTCTAAAAAGTAATCTAGGTAGGTGGAGAGAGAGGTTGATTACTGAATCCTTGTTCATCGAATCTACACCCAACACATGCAATAGGAATGATTCATCACTCATACCCGAAATATGGAAAATACTACTACCAATCAAAATCAAGTGAAAATCAAGTGAAAAACAACGGAACTATATAAATGAATTTAGGAAGTCGTGTGATTACCTTGATATGATTATGAGCAATAAATTGTTCTCGAAACGTGGTCATCAGTAAACATTACTGTATAACAACACTGTGAGACTTAATCAAAACAAAATTTACCCATAATGGAATTACACTCTACCACCACAGTGCACAAGTTTTATTCTTATATCAACACATCACTTCGCTCCACTTTTTCTGCCGTCCTCTTCAGCTGCGTCGTTACTACGTTACTACTAATTTAAAACTTCCTCGGTCATATTGCTCGGCATTGGAAAACGTCAAACTAAGCAGAATAATTTTTTTCAGTGATATATATGATAGACAACCCTGCAATTTCATAATAATAACTACACTTACCCCCCTGAGTATACCCCTACCCCGCTTATGATGGAATTAATTACCCCTACTAGCGATGAAAGCAAAAATAAGGATGGGGCTCGTGGAATGTTCATACAATGTACGAAACCGGAAAGGCTGCCCAGGTAGCCGCAGAAATGAGGAGATATAAAATAGAAGTGTTGGGAATCTGCGAGAGCAGATGGAACGGATGTGGAAGGAGCCAACTGCAAACTGGAGAAACAATAATCTACTCCGGTCACCCAGAGGACAATCACGAGCACACCGAGGGAGTAGCCATCATGATGTCACCAACAGCAGCCAAAGCTCACATGCAGTGGGAACCAATCTCCTCCAGGATAATGACAGCCAGGTTCAACTCAAAAGGAAGGAAGGTTACAATCATTCAATGCTGTGCGCCTACAAACGTCTCAGAACAAGAGAAGAAGGAGGCCTTCTACAGACAACTACAAACAGTAATGGACAACGTCCCAAATGTTGATATCAGAATCCTGATGGGTGATATGAATGCGAAGCTGGGAGGAGACAATACAGGAAGAGAACTCATCATGGGTCGCGAGGCCCTCGATGAAATGAACGAAAATGGTGAACTCTTCTCAGGCTTCTGCGCCTTCAATGATTTGGTGATTGGTGGCAGTGTATTCAAACACAAGGACATACACAAGGCGACATGGATTTCACCAGATGGATACACCAAAAACCAGATAGAATTCATTTGAATCTCAAGGAAGTGGAGACGGAGCCTACTGGACACAAGATCGAGAAGAGGAGCAGATGTGGGTTCAGACCACTATGTAGTACAAGGGAATTTCAAGGTGAAGCTAAAAGCCTCGAGGATAGCTGGGGATAGGTCACAATGCAAGTTCAGCACGCCAAAACTGAAGGACACAATCACACAGGACACTTTCACTGCAACTGTCAGAGCAAAGCAAGAAACACTACGTGGCACCACTGAGGAATCATCCGTGGAAGACCATTGGAACTCTCTGAAGGTGATTTTCAATGAAACGTGCTCAACGGTTTTAGGAAGAAAGAAGAGACAAGACAAGGAATGGCTCTCAACGGACACTTGGAAGCTAATAGAGGAGAGGAGAATGGTGAAAGAGAAAATGATTCAATGCAATTATAAAAACATTTGACTGACTGACTGATTGGTTTCAACATAGAACTACTTTGCACAGATGTCCAGCAGTTCGACTCGCCACACTCCTCCACTCCTTGTAGCACACAAAGAGTAAGGTAAGAAAATAAAAAGAAATGCAAAATAGTGACAGTGAACAGAGATATGAGAGAAAAAAGAATAGTAATAACGAAGAACAATATAGTTTTATATTGGGTATTATAAGTCACAAATAGTGGATGCAGATGCGCCAGCCAGCCATTGAGAACGATTTTGAGCCGGCCATATCACCAAATGTCTCCAGCCTTCATTGCTGTTTAGCGTCCCGAGGACGCCAACCAATCATGAAGTCTACATCTTTCTACGTGGCTGGCTGGCTGGCTTAAACTAACTGTTGTGGATTTCATTGACTG